GTTGTCATTCCCATTATTAACTCCTTACCTTAATTGGCATTAGAATATCTGGATTTAGTTCATAAGTTAATTATACAGCCTGAGTAGCTCCACTTGAAGGAATGTTGAAGTACATCGACTCTACATCAAAGCTAGCAACAAATCTTTATCGTCTATCCTATGTTCATCGACTAACTGAAAAAAATCACACGAGTTACTTATTGAAAGATCCCACGAATCGAAGATTTGCTTTATTTGCTGACAGATATATCATGATATTTTAAGCATCACGCTACCCTTATTATTAACAATAATTCCAAGTAGGGTTACTTTGACCAGGCAATTAGCATTCCGAGGCTTTGTATTTCGTTGGAGAGGTGTGTTCATTTTCCCGCTTTGTTACAGAATGTTGTAAGCAACGCCTGAATCTCGATTTTAGAGTTTTTGTAGGGTCCTTATTGACAATGTTGTACATTGAGTTATCATCTACTATCTGCATCATATTTACGACAACTAGCCTTATATATGACCACCGCTGCTCCTCTCTTGCTTGTCCTTAACAATTTTTGTTTCTTAGTCTCTTAGTTTTTTTAAATAATGCTGTTCACTATTATCCCTTAACGATACCTCTACATGACTATCAATTAAAGGGACAACCTGCAACTCGATTTCACTCCTAGTCGGTATTCTTTTTTCTTGCTATCCTTATTGTTTGGCCAAACCTCCTTATTATTGTCCAAACCTTTAGGAGGAACTTCCTTTGGGGTAGTCCAATGTTGTTTTGGACAGGTTTATCAAGTTTTTGCTGAGGACCTATTCTCACAAATCTATAGTCACATCTCTATGGCAATCCCCCAGCATCTTCCGGTGAGGCCAACTTACGAGTCTTTTCCACTCGCCTCCTTAAACGAAATGAAGGATACTCCAACATCATTCTATTAAGGGATTCTTTGAAAACCAGTTTTTCTACATATGAATCGCTTGAACTTGTTAATTTTGCAATTAATTAAAAATAAATCAATGTTTGGAGCAAGGATATTTTTAAATTGGATCGGCGACGATTGCAAGAATAGAACATTTAGACCATTTATTTGTAAATTTTGAAAATCAAAACAAATATATTTTTTGATGTTTATTAAATCATATAAGCTTAACCTGATATTGCAACTATCTAGCCTTTCGTTATAATTTCTTCATCTATTTAGCTAATCCACCTTATTTTTATTATGTTTTTACTTTATTTTGTCTTAGCACACTTCTCGTATTGACTCTTAAGCACTATGGTCTCGCTTTGAGCCTGGGGAGTCAGTTCATCTACCACTCGATGCCACGTCTTCTTAGTCTATGGCTTGACTATAGTGCGACTACAACCAATGTGCGTGCTGCTTCATCCCACAACCAACGCTCTGCATGTACAGGCGACAGTGCCACCTTCGCCGAGATACAGGAGGTGCTTTCTTACATGGCATCTTGTTCTCTAGAGAGGAACAATATATCTTTTTCACTTTAGGATATATTAGATAGAAATAATGAGGGATGGGGATGATTGAAATACTATTTGGATTTAGTAATGTGGATTATATGTAATAAGGCGAGCAAGTTTACGAACTCAAGTTAATTTTCGGAAGCCTTCCGAAACTTTTTTGTGTGTATTTCTAATCATGTGTGAGTTTATTTGTTGGGCATTTTGCATTATTTCTTTTCTTCTGTTTATCATAACTTTGAATCGGTGGACAAATCATGCCGTTTCCGATCTAAGACTTTATCGCCTTTTTTAAATAGACTATTTCATGTGAGTATCGAATGCGAATTAAAACTTTTTCATTGCTTTCTATTTTTGCAATTGCATCCATTTATCTGCCCTAATAACTGGTTTAGCTTATGCTGCACAACAAGCAGCGCATTCCCGCCTACCAATTCTACACGGCATTGGGTCAGATTCTGTCTCGACTGTGCCATGAGCACCCGGAGATTGTCTTAATGTTAACTGACCTGGTAGTGCGCATTTTCATAGCCTATCCTCAACAGACGATCTGGTTTCTTATGTCACAACATGATGTTAGTTTGCTTATATATAGACCATAACGTTTCTCCTGTATTTTTATTTTCAGATGTGCTGCTATTTGCTATCTTTAGTTTATTTTTTTCTACTTTTCCATTTTGATATATTAGTATTTTTTGGTCCTACAACTTATTTTTTAATTATTCTTTCAATAGAAATGTATTGCAGACCATTGACTTGGTTCATTCTCAAACGTTTTGTCGGCATCGTCAGTGCGAGGATCATCATCACCATAGTTGCCAAAGTGACGAGTGGAGGCAATCCCCTTACCAATTTTCTGTTCAACCGTTGTAGCCTCACTCCTTAATTCTATTTTTGCTCTACCTTCTAGTACTGAATCTCTTTCTTAACTTAACTTAATATGAAGATGTGAAGACCAAGATGTTGTGGCCGCAGGTATGGTCGCAGTCTCCTTTCGACTTATAGAAGTGGGTTGACGTCGTTGTCGCAACTTGGTCTTGTGCTCGGGGAGACTATGTAGAACGCACCGAGTCCGAAGTCGTCTGCCATAGTAGTTGTCTTGATTCCCATCATCTGACAGTTGACTTGATACATTCTCAAACATTGTGGCCTGGAGTGAAATGCACACAGGGACTCGACAACAAGAAGATAAGGAACAGATCTACGAGACAATGAAAGGATACGGATTGGAGCCTCGAGTCGGATAAGCCCATCGAAAGAAAGGGGTCGGGGTAAATAGCAAGGGTGATGAGACCACACTCGGTTCGTCACAAAAGGGCATACATTTTTACGATTGGAATGTAAACAAGTGAAAAGTTGTGATAGGGCGGCAGTGGGATAGGAGCGTAAAGAGTAAATAGATAGACAATGACAGAAAGAGGAGTGATAGTGTAATCGCTTTCGGCAGAACGGTTGTCTAGCGACTCAAGGGTACTCGTGGCAGTGTAGTCGAGTGGTTAGCGTGTCAAGCTTCCATTATGCACTGTCGCGGTTCGACTCCCCCTGAGAGTGTTGATAAGACCGATGCGAGGTCGAAACTGCAGTCCACCCTGGATGAGAATGACTTATGGAAAAGCAAGGCTATGTGAAATTCAATGAAAAACGTCAGCTCAACTAATATCATTGTGGGAAAATTCTGCTACCAGTCCTTCATCACCTTAGACGAAATAGGTTGAGTACATCTCATTACACTGATTTACTGGTAGTCTCGAAACCCTACTTTTATACTAATATAATACTTAATTTCCGGTACCATCACAATTACAGGCTAAAGATAGGAATAATGAGGAGCATGATCATCCGAATCCTACGCCTGACGGATGCAGATTTTGAGACGAGGAGCTGGACGAATTGACTGAGATCTTCCTCGGCAATGACTACCCAAACGAGGTATACAAAGAAACATACGGGCCGTGAAAAGCCGATGGCAGAACGGGGACTATGAAAGGACAATAAAGACGA